GGCTACCCAAGGGGATGTACTGGTGCTAAGAGACCTGACCAAGGTGGGTGTAGAAAATTGGTGGGGGGGAGTTCCCATTTGCCCACCCACTCTTATTAGCAATCTGCACTCCTCCCAGGTGTACCGTGGGCAGAAGACACCAGCTGTCAACCGATTGTGCCTGGGGATTCCCCCTGGGGAGGTGAGTTCATGGTGGACGTTCTGGTGTAGGAGTAGTAAAAGGCTGTATGCTGGTCACCTTTTTTTGAGCACCTACTAGATGCCAGCACCTATTTTGAGCCAACACTCATTAAGCACCTATTATATGCTTACATTTATTGAGCCCTGCTGTATACAATAAGGTATTAGTAAGCCCCTAACATGAAAATCTAATATGTTATTGAGCACCTATTAGTGCCTTAATCAAGCACCTACAATGCACCAATAGTTGATACCAATTGTGTACACTAAAGTATATGGAGCCCTTGTGTGCACTGGTATGCAATGAATGCCACTTTTGTGCCACAAGCACCAGTCCTATTTATTGAGTATCAGTTGTATACATATTTGTATCAAGTTCTTGGTTCACAGCCAATATTCGTTAGGCACCTGTGTATGTGAATTGTCACATTCAGGCACATCAATGTGCAGACTTACTTGCTGTGTGCTATTTCTTGGCCACATACTAGAGACCAGTGTGCCCCTGTATACACATGTCTGTTAGTAAGAGTAGCAGTCTCTCTGTATCAAGCACCTACTGTGTGCTAACTGACTTCTTTACTTTGGTGCACAGCCTGAGCACTTATCTGCTGTCATTGTTTATGAAGTACCTGCTGTATAGCAGGAAATATTTGGAAATCTCATGGCCCCATATTTATTGGGCACTTGCTGTATATATATGACCTTTATAGGATATTTACTCTGTTGATTAAGCACACCCTGTATACCCTCAGCCATTCCCTGTTAAGCAACAGCTTTGTGCTACCACGCACTCAGGTATCTACCCAGCGACTCCCTTGCCCACAGTCCTCTGTGCAGAGGCAGTGAGACAAGGGCCTGAGGCCTTCCTTGTTCAGTGCCACCTGTTGCACACCTGCAGTGTTTTGGGCTGCTGGGTGTGAATGGAGCAGGGAAAACGTCCACATTTTGCATGGTGACCGGGGACACACTGCCCAGCGGGGGCGAGGTGGTGCTGGCAGGCCACAGGTGAGGGGGCTCTGGGTGGGGGCATGGAAGCCCTTGTTCCCTCCCACCTCCCATTGTCCCTGCATGGATGACTCCTCACCAGCATGATCTGGGGCAATCTCTGCCCCACAACCTGGCACACAGACTGGTCCTAAGGACAGCCCTGTCACTATCCAGGGTGGGTGGGTGTGAAACCCCTGTGTTTGGCCCCCCAAATTGGCCAGGCACTCACCAATTCCCTGATCCCTGTCTTCTCCCCAGCATGGCCCGGGAGCCAGTTGCTGCACAACGCTGCATGGGCTACTGCCCTCAGTCAGATGCCATCTTCGAGCTGCTGACAGGCCTTGAGCACCTGGAGCTATTTGCCCGCCTTCGAGGAGTCCCTGAGGCCCGGGTGGTCCAGGTGACTCCCCTTTCCCCCCACCATACCCCAGCCCTCCCTGCCCTCCTTGCGCTCCCCTTGCCCAGCTCCTTCAGGCACATGGGTCCACCCCCTAACAACCTGCCAAGCCTTGCCCTCTCCCTGCTCAGGGACCCCTCCCCTGCTTGACGCTCCCACTCTGGCCTCACCCACTCACTCTGGGCCCAGCCCCGCGCTTGATATGGTTCTCCCATGTTCCCCGTGGACCCCTGACACTCTCAGTGTGTTCCCCGACACCGCACGCCCCCTGGCCCCTCCCTCTCTCTGGTGCCCCTCGCCCCCTGTGGCCCCCACTTTCACGGAGCCCCTGCAGACGGCGAGCCTGGGGCTGGTGCGCCTGGGCCTCTCGCAGTACGCGGACCGGCTGGCGGGCACCTACAGCGGCGGGAACAAGCGCAAGCTGGCCACGGCCGTGGCGCTGGTGGGAGACCCGGCCGTGGTGTTTCTGGTGTGTGGGGCTGGCGGCGGCCGGCGGCCAGCGGGCGGGTGGGCGGGCGGGGCGGGGCTCACGGCTGCTGCCCTTCCCAGGACGAGCCGACCACGGGCATGGACCCCAGCGCCCGGCGCTTCCTCTGGAACAGCCTCCTGGCCGTGGTGCGCGAGGGCCGCTCGGTGGTGCTCACCTCGCACAGGTGCGACGGGGCCGGGCTCGGAGCGGTGGCCCCGGCCCTGGAGGGGAGGCCTGACGACGGGGGCCCACGGCCGTCAGCGCGGGGCAGGGGGTGTCGGGGTCCGAGGGGGCCCCGGCCCGGGGCGGCGGCCGGTCGGCGCTCACGGCGCGCGTCCCCGCAGCATGGAGGAGTGCGAGGCGCTCTGCACGCGCCTGGCCGTCATGGTGAACGGGCGCTTCCGCTGCCTGGGCAGCGCGCGGCACCTCAAGCGCAGGTGAGCGGAAGGCGGGGCGCGAGGTGCCCGTGCGCGGGGCTCGGAGGCAGGGAGGGGAAGGGGCCAGACCCCGGGGCACGTGCGGCCGCCGGCCCTGCGGAAAGGGAAGGTTCTGGGCTCCCTGGGGAGGCGAGGGAGGGCTGGGCCGGGCGGCGGCGCCTGCGGGCGGAGTTCAAGGCCGGGTGGGGTGGGGCGGGACTCCGAGAGGGGCCGGCCGGGCGCGGCGTCGGGGCGGGATTGGGGCCCCGGGTCCAGGAGAGGACCCGCAGGGGCGGAGGTCTGGGCCGGCGCCGGGGAGCGTGCGGGCGGGTCACCTGTCCCCGCGGCCCGAGGAGTGGTGGAGCAGGGCCGGCTGGGGCGGCTGGGGCGGGCTGGGAGCAGCCGGTGTTGACTGAGCGGGGCTGGCGCTGGGCATGGGAGGGAGGGTCGCTGGGCATTCTGGACGGGCTGCCTGAGAGGACAGAGAAGGGCGGAGGCTAAGCCTACGAGGGGGCGCGGCCTGGAGAGGTGGGGTTAGAGAAGAGCCTGCCGCCTGGCTCCCTTGCTGGGTCAGGGTTCAGGGGGGCCAGGTGGAAAGGGCAGGGCCAAAAGGTAGCAGGAGGGTGGTGGGCGCAGGCCGTAGGGCAGGGCGGGCGTGGGTTTATCCTGTAGCTCTGTCTCGCCCACCCCAGGTTCGGGGCGGGCCACACGCTGACCCTGCGGGTGCCGGCGTCACACACCGAGCCGGCTGTGGCCTTCCTGACCAAGGCGTTCCCCGGGGCTGAGCTTCGAGAGGCGCACGGTGGCCGCCTGTGCTTCCAGCTGCCGCCCGGAGGGCCCTGCTCCCTGGCTCGTGTCTTTGGAGAACTGGCAGCGCACGGCAGGGAGTGCGGTGTGGAGGATTTCTCAGTGAGCCAGACTACCCTGGAGGAGGTGACCCCAGCTCCCGAGCGGGGTGTGGGGAGGGGTGGGGCTGGGGACCAATCCTCCAACTAAACTCCCCGCATTTCTCTCCCTGGCCTCTCCTGCATCTCCAGGTGTTCCTGTACTTCTCCAAGGACCAGGGAGAGGACTGTGAGCGCAAGAAGGAGGCAGTAGTGGGGGCAGACCTTTCACCAGGCCTCCAGCACCCCAAACTCATCACCCAGTTCCTGGATGTCCCTAGTACGACTGAGACTGTGCTCTGAGCCTCCCTCCCCTCTGTACCTGGTGGAAGGACCTGGATTCAGAGCTCTGTTCCCCAGACTCCCGGAGAAACAGAGGTCCCGGGTGAAATAAAGAGCGTTGGTGGCGAAAGAGTGTGTGTCATGTGCCAGGCTGCAGGCATGTCCACGGATGGTTCTGTGCTGTGTCTGAACTAGACCCTTGCACACAAGTGTGTACACTGTGGGGTTGTGGACATGGACATAATTCATAGGGTGCAAGTGGGAGAGTGTTTACAGTCTCCTGCACCCCCAGCTCTGAAAGCCTCTGGTGGGTTGGGAAGTGGGCATGGCTCACCTGCATGTGTGGGCTTCGGAAGAGCCTGGTCACTGGCCCCAGGACCCTTGAGTGCCCACAGCACATAGGGCAAAATCTCTAAGTGCACTAAGTGGGCGGGTCTGAGATTAGGAATGTCCTGGGCAGCTTAGAGGATCCCAGAGGATAGCCTGGAGCTCAGGCCTTCAGACCAGGCCAGAAGTCCACAGTCCACACACCTGCCAGCCAGTCCTCACCCCCCCCCCTCATGGCCGCACCCAAGCAGTGAGTGGTGGGCAGGGGATGCAAATGGACCCAGCCTGGAGAACCGAGTCAGGCAGCACCCTGTGGCCTGAATTCCCCCTGCCTCAGAGATCTGCACCTCCCCTGAAGTCAGTGGGGGGTAGATGATGAGGAGGGTAAAGTGGTTGGGGTTTTGGGGTGAGGGATGGGGTTCCAGAAGGGGAGGAGGGAGAAAGAATTGAGGAGGGGTCATACTGGGGTGGCTGTGGGGTCGGCGGAAGGAAGCAGGGATCCATCTGTAAGCGGTGGAGGCCCCAGGGACTGGAGGCGGCTGCCTGGTGGCCTCAGGCAAGTTACCCCGCTGCTGCCCAGCCAGGCTGCCGCCCGGCCACCCCAGGTCTGGAATGCGGGCTGGCGGCGGTGGTGGGAACTGCGCTGAGCCCGGTGGGGCGCCAGGCTGGAAGGCAGGCGCGCCGGGGAGGGAACGGGGGTGGGGTGGGGGGGAGCGGCCGGGCGTCTGTGTCCAGGGGCTCTGGGTCACTGGTGCAGGGGAGCCTGGGGCGCCTGGGCACGCCGCCAAGGCGCTCCCCCTCGTGCCGCCGTATCCCCCACCAGCGCCTGGGCGTGCCCGGCCGACCGCAGCATCCGCAGCCTGCTCCGCGCCAGCCCCTGCGCCGCGGGGGCTCCGTCGAACAAGCGACCTGGCGCGCCGCGGCCAACGCACAGCCAAAGCGGAAGTTGGGAAGGGCGGGGCGCGGGGCGGGGCCTGAGACCCCACCTTCGAGCCCACTCTGCGGAGGGGCAGCCTGAGGCCCGGAGGGTGGGGAGCGGCGCCCGCTGCCTCCTCGGGAGGCTGTTCCTGTGGGATGAGCGCCTGGCCGTGAGGGCCGGGCCGTCACGTGCTCCTGACAACTGGGGAGGGGGTGGCCCGAGACAATGTGGTCTCCGGGCCGCCAGTGCCGGGAGCTGCTGCGCTGAGGCCCCCCGACTGCCGTCCCCAGGCCGCCCCCTCGGATACCGGGCCCCCACCCCACCATGTTCTCCAGGAAGAAGCGGGAGCTCATGAAAACCCCTTCCATCTCCAAAAAGAACCGGGCGGGAAGCCCCAGCCCGCAGCAGCTCTCAGGGGTAAGTGAGCCCTGCGGGGGGGGGGGGGAGCGGCGGGGGACCTCGGGAGACATCAGGCCATCAGGCGCAGGGACAGGGGCTCTCTGCACCCAGCGGCCGGCATCGCCGCCATGCTGGGCTGGAGGCAGGGGTCCTGTGCTAGCTACAGCCCACACCGGGCTAGACGGCGGGGGTCTTGGAGAACAGGCTGGGGCCCTGGCGTTCAGCTCGTGGTAAGAGCCCTTTGGGGTGGCCCATGCGGCCATTGGGCCCAGGGCTGACTTTTAGGCCCAGGGAGTGGGTAGGGAGGATGACAGGGTGGGGTTAGCATTGGGTCTGGGACTCCAGGACGATAATTAGTGAAGGGGGGGGGTTCCAGTGCCATTGGCTGTGTGTTATTGGGATACAGGTTTATAGGGGAAATGGAGCATCTAATGGGATTCATGTGTGTAAGGGCCTGGGGAGTGTCTCCAGGACTCTAGTGTCTACCAAGTTTGGGAGGGCCTGTAGGTTTCAGGGACTCTTAGGCTACAGGAATCAACAGTAGTGTCTTTACAGTAGTGTCTTTACAAGGAAGTGTGTGTGCAGCAGCCTGAGGGGCCTACAAGAGAGAGGGAGTCTCTACTGATCATCTCTCCCCCCCAACCAGGAAGTGGGGTGCCTCCTCCCCCACCCTGCAGCCGCCCCACCCCTGCCTGTGGTTTGGGTAGAAGTCGGTTGTTTGTGAAAGCGGTGGAGAAGAGGATGTTGGGTAACAGGTGTGGGAGGGGCTGGTACAAAATCTCAGCCCCTGACCCTGGACCCTCGGAGGGTCAGGCTGAAGATCCTCCAGAGTCTCAATTCACTTCTGGGGAAACCGAGGCAGTGCCTGGCTGGAGCACCTGACTTACCAGTTCCTCTCACCCTCCCAGGAGCTGCCCAAGAGAGATGGGGCCGACGCGGTGTCTCTTGGATCCAGCCTAGAGCCACCCAGTTTGGCCTCGAACATCAAGGCCACGGGCACGCTCAAGCGGCCCACCAGCCTGAGCCGCCATGCCAGCGCTGCCGGCTTCCCGCTGTCTGGTACCAGTACTTGGACACTGGGCCGGGGCCACCGTAGCCCACTGTCAGTGGCCAGCCCCGAGGTGCCCGTGGAGGGTCTCAGTCTTGATGCCGCCGAGGACATCTCCCAGCTGCTGGCGGACGTCTCCCGCTTTGCCAAGGGCCTTGACAACCTCAAGGAGTGTGTTTTGCAAGACGGTGAGGTCTGGGGGAGCAGGGCAGACACGGGCCTCACCCCTGGGGTATTGCCAAGCAGGCTTAGAAGAGGGTTGCAACAAGAGTGTTGTAGAAGGCATTGGCAGCTAAATCTCGGAGGGACGTGTAGGAGTTTGGTGGAACTAGGAGAGAAAGGCCTGGCAGAGGGACGGTGTGCAGAGACTCAGACGTGAAGTAGAGATGCACTTGAGGGAACAAGGCTTGGGTGTCTCTGGTTTGAGGAGGGCAAGGCTGAAGGCAGAAGGCCCCGAGGGTGGTGGTGAGTCCTGGAGGTAGAGAGCAGCGGTGGGGCCAGGTCAGTCTGGGCTGGGAACAGGTGGACTGGCGCGGCCCGAGATCTGGGATGGAGGGTGATGGGGGGGCATACCGGCAAGTGAGCAGAGTCGCTGGGGGTGTGGTTGCCCGCTCCTTTCTCCTCCACGCTGCGCCCTGACAAGCGGCTTCCTCCCCCGTTATTCTCATCTGCTTCCTGTTTATCCCTGGTAGCCCGGAGGGCACCTCGTGGCCCCACAGTCTGTCTTAGCGCACTGTTCCGGAAACCACAGTGTCGGGGCCTTGCCAAGCCCTCTGAGCAGCTCCCCCAGGTGTCTGTTTGACAGATGAGGAAACTGAGGCCGAGCAGGGCCTGACCCTGGCTCACCCACCAGGAGGGACCAGAGTGGATTCAGCTCGGGCCTGTTCGTAGCCTGAACTCTCAGGGCGCCCATGCTGAGCTCTGCACAGGAGGCCTGGCCCCTGCTGGGTGGGGGTGGGAGTCCCCGGGGGTTATCTGGTCTCAGAGGCGGTGCCTTGCATTTCCTGGGGAAACTCTCTAATCTCAGTTCCTTTCCGATCCTGATCCTGGCGCTGCCTTGGAGGCTAGGCCTGGGAGGGGCTGAGGCCGAGGGCCTTCTGCAGGAAGTGGGGCCAGAGCTGGGGAGGTGGGAGCCGCTCTGGGTGTGCAGGGAAGAGCCCGGGGAGAAATCTGCCCCTGCCTGCGGGCTGTGAGACCCAGACAGGTCCCCTCCCTCTCTAAGCCTCAGGGGTCCTGTCTGTGAAATGGCGCGACAGTGTGCCCGCCGCCACTGTAACACATCCTCGCACACTGCGATTGTTGGGGGCACAGTCAGCCCAACAACGAGTCGTGGGGACCCAACAATGAGTCGTGGGGACCCCCTGCAGTTCAGGAGGTGATTGGCACCAGGGTTCACCTGAGTTCGGCTCCGTTTCCTGGGGCCACCTGGCCTTTCCTAGGGCGTCCTCACTTCCTGGGCTTTGGCTCTGGGCCTCAGTTTCCCGCCTTCATCTGGGTGAGGCCTCAGGACGGAGCCACTTTGGTCATGAGCAGGGCCACCTGTCAGTCTCCTCATCTTGTGAGTTCAGTGTCCCAGGCCGGAGCGCCGCACCTGCACCCCGTGTTGGACTGTGTGCTGCCAGAGGTGAGGGTGCAGGGCGCTGGGCCTCACAGCCTGGGTGAAGCACATGGCCTCTGCGGTGTCGTCGGCCAGCCAGCTGGGGATGCAGAGGCTCAGCTCAGTGTCCTGAGCCGTGCCCAGGCCGCATGTGCCGGCTGCTGAAGGATCTTGCCTGCGACCAGCTTCCTGGCTGGGGGGAGATGGCGTGGATCCCAGTGGGAAGACCTTGGCCGCAGTGGGAGGAGATACAGGAAGGAAGGTCCCAGAAGGGGCACAGCGGGTCTCCCCATAGCCGGCTCCCTGGAGTTGGCCTTGGATTCAAGCGGTGAGTGTATTTGGTAGCCAAGGCCCAGAACTGGGGGAGCGCAGCAGGTTGTATCTAGGGCCAGTGACCCTGTTGGGGGGGTCCCTCTGGGGGTGGCATTCAGCAGGGGTCCTCAGTGCCTGGAAGGGATCTGTTTTCAGGTTTCTTTTTTCCTCTCTCTCTCTCTCTTTTTTTAGATAGAGCAATTTAAAACCTCAAAGACACAAATCTGACCTCCACCCTTCCCTAGTCTGCCAACTCCTATGATTCCCACTGCCCTTGAGGTAAAGCCAGGCAGGGCCTCTACCTGCAGAGCTAGGGCAGAGGGAGACACTGCGTGGTGCGTGAGCTCATTCCCATCCCCGCCTCGAGCGTCCTTATCTGCAAAATGGGATGATGCCCAGCTCCTGTTGGGAGAGAGGGAGACGCTGGAGGGCTTGAGGCCTGTGCCCGGCAAATGGGGCAGGGAGATGGCTGGACAGAGCTGTGTGTGGTCCTGAGGGGTCGGGGCTGCAAGAAGAGGGGCCCCAGCATTGCAACTTGAAGCGCAAGCAGGGGTTTGCTTTCTGCCAGACAAGGACAGAGCAGTCTCAGCAGAAGTGACTGTCGAGGCCAAGATCTGCCCTTGTTAACCTGGTCAGCAGCCCAGAGAGGGCCAGTGTCCACCTAAGTACTCAGTGAGCCTCAGGCAGCTGCCCTGTCCCTCCTGTTTTGCCCCCTGGAGAGGGGCTCTGAGGAGGGGTGGGCAGGCTCTCCCTGGGGCTGCAACCCTCCCTCCCTCCCTGCTTATCTTTGCTCTGTCCAGCAGACCTCCTTGAGGCGCGGGGGCCCATGGCCCATGAGCGTCTATACGATGCCCTACGAGTGTTCCGCCAGCTTATCGGCAAGTATCCACTGCTGAACACCATGGAGACACTCACAGCCGCTGGCAACCTCATGGCCAGGGTCAGAGGTCAGTGGGCCAGGATGGGCAGAGTGACTCTGTCTGATCGGGCTTTCTGGGGGAGTGGGACATGTAAAGTGGGTATTAAAGGGTTCATAAGAGATTGCTGGACACGACTTCTGCGATGCTCTCCCGGCCTGAGGGCTCCCCGTAGTTGGTTGCTGAGGAATGGCCCCCTAGAATGGGCCAACCCCTGAGTCCTTGTTTCTGCCCCCCAGGCTTCCATTACGAGTGCAACAATGAGTTGGACAAGCAGGAGTTTGAGAAAGCCTTGGAAACTCTTGCTGTCACCTTCAGCAGCACGTGAGTGTGGGGACTGTGGGGTTGGCGCAGGGGTGGGAGTGTGGGGGCCCACGTGCCTCTTGATGCCAACCTCCTGACCCGCAGGGTGTCTGAGTTCCTCATGGGTGAAGTGGACAGCAGCACCCTCTTGTCAGTGCCCCCCGGGGACCCCAGCCAGGTAAGCAGGGCTGGCTCAGCGGTTGCACGGGTGAGGCGGGCAGGGAGGGCTGAGTCACACCCGGTCTCTACAGCGCGCTCCGCAGCGTCCTTTTGTCCAGGGGAGGGGCTGGCTAGATCTGTTAAGGTGGCATCAGGCAGCGCGGGGCTGGACTCACCTGTCTTCCTTCTGCACAGTCCATGGAGAACCTGTACGGACAGGGGGGTGAGAGTGCCCAGGCCAGCGCTGAGGACTGTGATGCGGGTGAGTCCCCCCTCACCTGAATGGTGGGTGGAGTGCGGGGGACTGAGTTTGAGGGCGGCCTGGGAGTGGGAGACCAGGACTGATCACGCCCCCCCGCAGGCTGCCCACCGCCCGAGGAGGTGGACATGCTGCTGCAGCGCTGTGAGGGGGGTGTGGACGCCGCGCTGCAGTACGCCAAGAACATGGCCAAGTACATGAAGGACCTCATCGGCTACCTGGAGAAGCGCACGGTGCTGGGTGAGAGCTGTCCCCAGGGAGGGTCTGTGCATTCTCCTCGCCCCTGCACTCACACACCCTCCCCTCGCCCCTGCACTCACACACCCTCCCCTCGCCCCTGCACTCACACACCTTCCCACCCTCAGAGATGGAGTTTGCCAAAGGCGTGCAGAAGATCGCCCACAGTTGCCGACAGAGCGTCTTGCAGGAGGTAGGGCCCAGGCGCGAGCAGGGTCCCCAGGCCTGAGTGTGAGTCTCGGTCCCACCGCCAAGGGCCGAGGGTAGGCGTCTCCTGTCTATGCTGATGACAGCTGAAGGGGTTGGGGAGGTAAGCGGGCTGCCTTGGAGGTTTAAAATGCCAGGTCCCCCTCCTACCACTCACCCTGTGACTGCTGCTCCCCCACAGCCCCACATGCCCCTCCTGTCCATCTACTCACTGGCCCTGGAGCAGGACCTGGAGTTTGGCCATAATTTGGCGCAGGCCGTGAGCACACTACAGACCCAGACCTTCATACAGGTGGGCAGCACCCTAGAGGGCAGGCTGGGTGGGAGTGTCAGGGTCCCCACTCACAGCCCTTCTCGCCCCAGCCTCTGAACCTGCGGCGAATGGAGCATGAGAAGCGCAGGAAGGAGATCAAGGAGATGTGGCACCGAGCCCAGAGGAAGCTGGTACTGTGGGGGTGGGGTGGGCCTGGGTGGCCGGGGCGGGCAGGCTGGTGCACATCCTGCGTCAGGGATGCTCTAGCCCCGTTACCCCAACTTCACGGGGAGGAGCCAGGCCTCCCAGTGCTCACTGGTCAGGTCATGAAGGGGGAGAAATGGTGGTTGCAAAGAGCAGATCTGGGTTGGAGGGACACTGAAAGTCTCTGTTGCATCTCCTGGATGGTCCCAGTTTTGGGGTGTTTTCTTGTGGTTTTTTGGGGGTTGTTTTAAAGGCATGAGTATCTTTTATTTGCTTTGTAACTAGGTTAGCGGAGTCTTTGGTGAAAAGTCCCCCCTCCCCTCTGCACAGAGCCCTGTGGCTTTTTCCTGCACGTCCTCACAAATACACATCTGCCCCTTTCTGTACACTGTGCTGAGTGCCCGTGCTGCAGACGCTCACACCATGTCAGCCCGTGCAAAGCATCCTCAGCCTTTTCTCTTGGCTCCTAGTACTGGGCTGTGATGACCCAGTGGCTTTTTTTACTAAATCCCTATCAATGGACACTTTGTTGTGGCTGAGTTGTTGGTGTTACAAATGTCACTGCTGTGAAGCCCCTGTCTCTCAGTATGACGAGGCATTATCTCCAATCAGTGTCCAGAATGGAATAGTGTGGTCATGGGGTGTGAGTGTATGAAATACTTCTTGTGCCATTGCCATGCTTTTCCTTCTTCATGAGCTCTGGGTTTATATCCTTTTCTCACTTTGGGTTGGATAGTGGCATGTTTCTTATTGATATTTCAGACCTCTTTACATATTAGAGAACCCAACCCTTGGTTTCCCTATCTCTCCCTTTGTTGTCTTTGTATTTTACCTGTAGTGTGTATAAATATATATATTTAAAGATGTATTTATTTATGCATACAAGAACTGGGGTGTAAACCAGAGATATGGGGGGTGGGGTGCGAGGATTCACCAGTGACAGAGTGGGGAGCAGAACAGGCGGATCTGCTGAAATACACTGCCGATGGGAGCAGCGGGCGAGGCAGGAAAGATCTGCTGCGCCATGTGGGTTGCTCCCTGGCTGGCCAGGGATCGAACTTCTACTGCAGTGGCTGGCGATAGCTGGATAGCACTTTCACCCCTGTGCCACCAGGGAGGCCCACCTGTGGTATATTTTTTGCCTGTATGATTATTAGTAGTATTTTGATTGCTAGTAGGGGCTTTCTATTTTATGTCACTCATTGAAAGGCCTTTCCCATACTGAGGTTACTTTTCTTTAATTCTCCCATGGTTTCTCCTGGCATAAACTCACTTCTCTGAATTCTTTTCCTTATGTTTAAGCCTCCAGTGGTGCAGGCCGTGAGGTGTGGTCCCCAGGAGCCCACTGGGTATTGACTTAAGTGCTCTCCTTGACACCCCTGAAGGGTGCTTGACTTCCTGCCTGGGCGGCCTCACTGTTCTCATCTGAAAGAAGGAAAATGAAAGAATTAAAACCACAAGTCACCCCACTGTGACTTTCATCAGCATTTGATGTAGCTCATGCCTTGTCAGGCTTAGCTATGCCTTAGTTTGCTGGGCTGTTAAATGGGCACACCAGATACTGTGCCTCCCAAGGTCCCGTTGTGGGTGTTGGTTCTGGGGCAGGAATATGGAATCTTAGTGCAAGAGATGTGGGTGGCAGAGTGGGTAGGAAGGGAGAGAGGAGTCGCAGAGACTGAGCCTTCTCGGAGGATGGGCTTGGAACTGGCCCCCTTGTTCTCTCACTGCAGCAAGATGCAGAGACCAACCTGCGCAAGGCCAAACAGACCTACATTCAGCGCTGTGATGAACATGACAAGGCCCGCCTCATGGTGGCCAGGGCTGAGGAAGAACAGCCCGGCGCTGGGCCTGGGGCTGGGGGTTCTGCATCCAAGACCCTGGATAAGCGGCGACGCGTGGAGGAGGAAGCCAAGAACAAGGTGAGGGTGTTGGAGCAGGCTCAGAGGACAAGACCCCCTACTGGTTTCCTGGTGCACTGTGGGAAATTTCCCACTGGGGCTTTTGCACCAGCTGAGCATCACCCCGGGAACGCCTTCTGACCCTTTTCTGCTGACTCTATCTGTGTCTGGCCTGGTGATGCACTGAACGCTGAACCCCAGGCTGAACTCTCCCACATCCTGCTCACCCCACCCCAGGCAGAGGAATCCATGGCCACGTACCGCACCTGCATAGCAGATGCGAAGACACAGAAGCAGGAGCTGGAGGACACCAAGGTGACCACTCTGCGGCAGATCCAGGAGGTCATCCGGCAGAGCGACATGACCATCAAGTCGGTGTGTGTGTGTGGGGGGGCACTCCTGCCTACTCGCAGCTGAGGTGGGCGGGGCCGTGCCAGTCTAGCCTCCTTACCCTGTCCGCCCCGCAGGTCACCATCTCCTACCACCAGATGATGCACATGCAGACGACGCCGCTCCCTGTGCACTTCCAGAATCTGTGCGAGAGCAGCAAGCTGTACGACCCGGGCCAGCAGTACGCCTCCTATGTGCGCCAGCTGCAGCGCGAGGAGGAGCCAGAAGTGCAGTACGACTTTGAGCCCCATGTCTCGGCCATCACTTGGTACGGAGTTTGCCAGGCATGGAGGCCAGGGCTTCCCACTGAGAGGGGCAACCCCGACGAGGCCTCTGTGACCCCATCATGACTTCTCTTCCTGGCTGTTTTTCCCACTAGGTCTCCAGTCATGCGTGTCCGCAAGGGCAGCTTCAATGGAGGTGACGGTGTGGGGTCAGAGGCCATCAGCAGCCCCCCAGCAGAAGGGGCACTTGCCAAGGAGGACAGTGGTGAGTGCAGGCAGGATGCGGAGCAACTGCCACCCCCTCCCCTGCAGCCCTCAGTCCATCAGCAGAGAACTCCCTTCCCCAGGTGGGCACGGACAGCAGGTGCACAAGTCAAGGCCAGTCTCCATGTCAGAGTGTGACGGCAGCCTGGACCCCGCCTCTGGCTCAGGTGGAGGGGCTTCCCTGGACTCGGTCGGAGAACTGCTGCCCTTCCTTTCGTGGGTCATTGGGGGCAGGGCACCCCTGGGGTGTGTGCCCTGGGGGAGCATCTGGCAGACCCTTGACCTGGTCCCTCCTGGCTCAGGGTGTCTGACATCTTTGTTCCTGCTCAGGGGACTTTAAGCAGCTAGAGCGGACCTCATCCCCTGGCACCCTGTCCTTCAGTGAGGAGCTTGCAGTCCAGGAGAGCAGTGCAGGGGCGTCAGCCTTAGAGCAAAGTGAGGGGTCCCTCCAACCTGGGCGGTGGTGGGAGAGACGAGGGGTTTTGCCCTGTGGGCCTGGCTCTAACTGCCTCAGCAAGGCTGACTGTCAGCCTGTTCTACAGCTGACCTCAATGGCATGGCTCCCGAGCTGCCAGTGACCATGCCCAACAGGCCCTTCCGGAACATAGGGCTGTCCAAGGCGGCCCGCACCCACCGGCTCCGCAAGCTCCGCACACCGGCCAAGTGCCGGGAATGCAACAGCTACGTGTACTTCCAGGGCGCTGAGTGCGAGGAGGTGAGTGGGGCCGAGGGGGTGGGCAGCCAGCAGGGGCAGGGCCCACAAGGGGTACGTGTGGTGTGTACGGTGTGTCTAGAGCGTGTGTTGTGTGTGGGGTGTGTGTGAGGTGGCATATGTGTGACATCACACTGGCGTGGGGGCAGGGAAGGGTGGCTCACTCTGCGCTGTCCCCAGTGCTGCCTGGCCTGTCACAAGAAGTGTCTGGAGACGCTGGCCATCCAGTGTGGCCACAAGAAGCTGCAGGGGCGCCTGCAGCTCTTCGGCCAGGACTTTGGCCAGGCAGCCCGCGGGAGCCCCGACCTCATACCCTTCGTGATCAAGAAGTGCATCAGTGAGATCGAGCGGCGCGCTATGCGCACTAAGGTGACCCCCACGGGGACAGCGGTGGGGGTTCGGCGGTGGGTGGGGTGCCGGGGGCGGTAGGCGCAGGCCTGGACTGACTGCGGCCCCCACAGGGCATTTACCGGGTGAACGGGGTGAAGACGCGTGTGGAGAAGCTGTGCCAGGCCTTCGAAAACGGCAAGGAGCTAGTGGAGCTGTCCCAGGCCCCGCCCCATGACATCAGCAACGTCCTCAAACTCTACCTGCGCCAGGTGAGAGGGGCGGAGGCGAGACGCAGGTGGGACTGGGCCAGACCGCCACGTGCGGGGGCGGGGCCAGTGCCCGGCAGGGCCGTGGGGCCAGCTCGGGGGCAGGGGCAGGTGCGGTGGCCGCCTTGCGGGCAGCGTTCCGCGGCGAGGTCAGGGCGGGCGCGGGCAGCGCCAGGCCCACCGATCCCGACTGTCTACCGTGGGCTGCAGCTGCCAGAGCCGCTCATCTCCTTCCGCTTCTACCACGAGCTGGTGGGGCTGGCCAAGGACCATCTGAAGGCTGAGGCTGAAGCCAAGGCAGCGTCCCGGGGTCGGCCGGACGTCGCCGCGAGCGAGGCAGCGTCCATCGCCATGGCGGGCCGGCTGCGGGACCTCCTGAGGGAACTGCCGCCCGAGAACCGGGCCACGCTGCAGTACCTGCTGCGGCACCTGCGCAGGTGAGGGCCGGCCCGGCGGGGGTGAGGGTGGCAGTGTCCGGGGAGCCGCGCGCACCAACTGCAGCACCTTCTGGCCCCGCAGGATTGTGGAGGTGGAGCAGGACAACAAGATGACTCCGGGGAACCTGGGTATCGTGTTTGGGCCCACACTGCTGCGGCCGCGGCCCACGGAAGCCACCGTGTCCCTCTCCTCCCTGGTTGACTATCCCCACCAGGCTTGCATTGTGGAGACCCTCATCTCCCACTACAGTCTGGTCTTTGAGGAGGAGCCAGACGAGGTGCCTGCGGGCCAGGTGAGGTTGGCAGGTGGACCGCAAGACTGTGCTGGGTGCGGGGTGGATGCCCTGAGCATTTATGGGACGCTGTGAGTCTCACTCACTCCTGGAGGAACTACAGGGAGATGCTTGGTTTGGACAGGATGGCTGGGCAGCCTCTGAGATCTTTGTTTTTTTTTTAAGATTTATTTATTTATTTATACAAACACTGGGTACAGTCAGAAGTGTGGGAGGGTGAGAGAATTCACCAGAGCCAGAGCCGGGAACAGAACAGGCAGACTGACGAAGTACACTGCTGAGGGGAGCAGCGGGGAGACAGGAGAGGTCTGTGCACCATGTGGGACCCTTGCTGGCGGCCGGGGATCGAACCGGCGCTGCAGAGGCTGCGGGCAGCTTCGCAGCCAAGTGCTCAAGCGCTGCGCCACCAGAGGAGGCCCCTCTGAGGTGTCTTAAGCAAAGAAGGAATGAAATGTGGGCTCAGGTCTGGGGGGCAAGCCTTGGCAGTGCAAAGTCCCTGTGGCTACCCCTCCAACCTCCTCTGAAACTCACATCAGAAATCTCTGCCTTCTCGGGGCCTCCCCGGTGGCGCAGCGGTTGAGCGCTGGGTTGCAAAGTTGCCCGAAGCCTCCGCGGCACCGGTTCGATCCCTGGCTGCTCCCCGGCCACCCGAGGAGGGTCCCACATGGCGCGCAGACCTCTCCTGCCGCCCGCTGCTCCCCTCAGCAGTGTCCTTCGGTCCTTCTGCCTGCTCTGCTCCCCGCTCTGGCTCTGGTGAATTCTCTCACCCTCCCGCGCTTCTGACTGTACCCAGTGCCTGTATAAATAAATAAATAAATCTTTAAAAAAAAAAAAATCTCTGCCTTCTGTGCTGCCCCTCCCGATTCTCATCTCTGCCCTCATCCCAGCTCCTGTGTTGCTCTGCTGGGTTCAACTTGCCACTTTGCTAATGGTTTCATTTCTTTTTTTTTTTTAAGATTTATTTATTTATTTATGCAAGTACTGGGTACAGGCAGAAGTGCGGGAGGGTGAGAGAATTCACAGAGCGGGGAGCAGATCAGGCAGAAGGACCGAAGTACACTGCTGAGGGGAGCAGCGGGCGGCAGGAGAGGTCTGCGCGCCATGCGGGACCCTCCTCTGGTGTCCGGGGAGCAGCCGGGGATCGAACCGGCGCTGCAGAGGCTGCGGGCAGCTTCGCAACCCAGCGCTCAACTGTTGCACCACCGGGGAGGCCCGCTAGTGGTTTCATTTCTACAACTACCATCTGTTTCATTTCTGGGCAACATCTTGTTCCTGTATTGCAGTCCTCCTTGCGTGCTTTCACCCCTCTACCGGCGTCACTCGCATTTGGGGTGGCAGGTTTCCTGGTTTCAGGAGGCAGGATGTGGGTATTTGAGGCCTGGACATGGCTCCATGTCGGTGCCTGCACTGGGGTTCAGCCTTTCAGGCCAGGGTGTCTCCTTTCTTGGACAATTGGTTAGTTACAACATGGGAATGGGTGGCCTCAAATCCTCAATGCAATGGGTGTTACTTTTGTAGGGTTTTAAAATTGTGGTGGGCCTCCCTGGTGGCACAGGTGGTTGAGCGCAGCACTGTGAAGCTGTCCTCAGCCTCTGCAGTGCCAGTTTGATCCCCACTGGCCACGGAGCAACCCATATGGCACAGCAGACCTCGCCTGTCTTGCCCGCTGCTCCCCTCAGCAGTGTATTTCAGTCAGTCTGCCTGTTCTGTTCCCCACTGTCTCTGATGAATCCTCTCACCCCCACACATCTGGCCTGTACCCCAGTTCTTGTATAAATAAATCTTAAAATTGTGGTTGATTTAGAAGACAGGACACAAAATCTAGTCCCTCCCTGACCTCGGTTCTGCCCCTGCAGGATGGAATATCCAGCCAGCAGGCTGAAGAGGTCGAGCAAATGCCATACCTCGGGGCATGTGAGGAGGCTGAGGATGGAGGCCAAGGTGAGTTGTGTGGCCGTGGGGGAAGAAGGGCTTGGCTAGAAGTTTGGGGTGCCCGATGGGGTAGATAGCATGTTGGCGGGTGATATGTTGTGGGTTCACATGAAGTGCCCAGAAGCTGCACCTTTCAGGGGGATTCCTTCCATGGAAACCATGTTTGTTGGCTGTTCATGCTTCATCTGTTGCAAACACAAAGAGATGACCTTCTGAGGCTTCACCAAGCCCACAACATGGCCCTTGAATGTGGAAATGATGCTGTGCATTAAGCTCTGCTCTTGCCATCTGCGGGGGTGGGGGGTGGGGGGGGGACATCTCAGAGCGTGGAAGCGGCCTGGAAGGGTGGCGTCGCAGGGGTACATCTGGGTGCCCCTGCTGATCAGACATTTCTCCTTTATCTCGTGCTTCCCAGAATCGCACCTTGCCTCAAATGACTCTGACTCGGAGCTGGAGGAAGTAGATCCGCTGTCATCATCTGTGGGTGGGAGTGCCCTGCCCTGCCTCGGCCTCTTGGAGAAACAGGGCCGTGAAGCCAATATGGTGGAGTCTGCGGACAGCCTTAACCTCAGCTGCAACGAAGAGCAGCTAAGGGCTGCAGCTGGGGAGGTGGGGGTCAGGCCAGGGCTCTAGGGGGCTGTCCAGGTATAGCACCAACGGTGCAGCAATACGGCCCCAGTCTGAATCCCTGGTGTGAGTGTTCATGGCAAGTGGGTGGCAGAGGGCACTGGCCAGATATGGCCAGTTTTTCTAACAGGGGTTCAGTTTGGCACACTGTCCCTGTGGACACCCCTGAACCTGGCCACACTGTCCTGTGTTCTTTGCTCAGAACACCTGGGTTGTGCCAGTCTGTCGCTGGTCTTCTCCTTCCTGCACTGTGTCATGGCCACTGTTGGCCACCTTTCTAGAAGCTGACTGGCCCTTACCCTGGCTCAGGTCTGGTCACCTAGGCGTGACCTCTTGCTGGACTCTGAAACCAGGAGTGTGCATGCTGGAAACCAGACAGTGGCCTCAGGATCCTTTAGCATTTCCAGAAAGCCGGGTTGGACCTGGGCTTTAGGTACATGGTGCAGTATCTCAGGTTAAGAGACAGTTCTTTGAGGTAAATTCTCTTTTGCTTAAAATAAAGTCTTTGCTCTAAGCCTGTCTTCTCTGGCAGTAGCAGGGGACAGGGATGCAGAAGACTTTAGCAGCTTCCCCAATTTCCACATGAGCCTGGCGACCATTGAGGCAGGCTGTTGTGAGGACACTTAGCTGTCAAATAGCCCCTGCACACAGCTTCTAGCTCTGTTGTCTGTTAAGGCAGCACCCAGTCCCATGTGGCTGTGGAGTGCCTGAGTGGCCGGTGTGCCTGAGGAACATGTTTCTATTTCATTTCATTTTTTTCCAGAATGAGGCACCCTGGAGGCAGTGGCCTCCATCTAAGATAGCGCTTCAAGTGCTTAGAGCCAGGCGAGGATGCTCCCCAACTCCTGCTGCTGACCCCCGCCCCCCATCACAGGCGCACATCAGGCTTACCCTGGAGGGCAGTGACAGCTCAGCCAAGCGGGCCCAACTTGTCACTTTATGCAGAATTGACAGGGGACTCCCACCCGGTCCTGAGGCGCGCAGCCAGGGAGAGGAAGGCCAGGCCTTCCTGGTACAGAACAGCTCCTGAACCCTGCAGCCAACACTGGGCTTAGATAAGCAGAGGCTTTGACAGCAAAAAGCAGAACAGCTCAACCTGGCTGCTACCGTGGTGGCTCTAAGAGGGATGAAAAGACCACTGGGCTAGTAACAACAGCCCCATCTGTTTCGCAGAAAGATTCATGGGCGCAGAATCATGCCTAATTCCCATGGCTTCACAGGTAGAAGCATCTTCAGGTACGATTTGACCTGGCTGATAGGTGTCAGGGTGGCCAGTGGGCCATGTAAACGCCAGCCCCCGCTGACCCCACACAGCTGTCAGGGGCCCTTCTTCCAGAAGCCCCAAGGCCGGCATCAGAGCAATAGCCATTGCCGACCAAGCTCAGGGACGTGGGGTTGGCTGCGAGTGGCAGCACAGGCAGGTCTTAAGGCGTCTTGAGATGGATTCCCAGAGCACAGCCAGGTGCTGCTAGGAGGGCGCAGAGGTGGGGCAATAACAGAGTTTTTTACAAAGCTGACGGAAATACGCACCCTCTGTAGCTGGGAACTACCACTAGCATCGCAAGCCCATCAGTGGGGACAGAGCAGGTTTGTACGCAGCTTCAGAGACAAAGCAACCTAAGTCAGAAGGAATTGTCAGGCCTCCCTGGTGGCGCAAGGGGTTAAGCACAGGACTGTGAAGCTATCTGCAGTCACTGCCATCCCACGCCAGGGAGCTGACCCACAAGGCACAGATCTGTCTTGTCTTGCCTGCTGCTCCCCTCAGCTGTGTATTTCAGTGGGTCTGCCCGTTCTGTTCCCCACTGTCTCTGGTGAATCCTCTCACCCCGGACACCTCTGGCCTGTACCCCAGTACTTGTATACATAAATAAATCTTAAAAAAAAAAAAAGGAATTGTCAATGAGCTGTTTCTAAAGTTCACTTGTAAGCAGCCCAGGTGGTCTGTGTGTGGGAGTATTTACTGTGTTACCCATTTTGAAGCACAGCTTAGCAGCATGAAGTTCATTCAGCCACCCCCACCACCCATCGCCAGAACAGTTCATCTTCCCGAAATGAAGCTGTCCCCACAGAACACCCACTCCCCAGCGTCCCACACCATTACTTTCTGTCTGTATAGATTTGATTCCTCTAGGGAGAATCACAAAGTATTTATCCTTTGTGTCTGGCTTTTTGGACCAAGAAGATTCTGGAAATAAAAAGTGTGTCTACCTGGGGGCAAAGGAGCGGCCTGTCCTGCTGTTACAGGTACTGTAAAACTGATTCTTTAAACCTAAGTTGACCAAGTGAAAGAAAGCACATCCTGAAATGCTGGTATTTATTTGAGTTTATGAGGGGGCGTACAGCGCAGCAAGAAAGGTCTGTGAGATGCTCAAGGCCGCTGTCTATCTAGGAACAAAGATTATAGGTAAAAACCAAACCTATAAACAAGTGCTTAGAAATACGAGAATGGAAAAAAGTATCTGATAAGAATTTGCATCTAAATCAGTAAACAACTTCCACAACTCAGTAGTAAAAACTCAATTAAGCAACAGGCAAAGGAGCTGCATGGAGGTTTCTTCAAAGACGAGGTACACATGGCCAAGCAGCACATGAAAAGATGCTCAACAGCATCCGGGAAAAACTGAGTCATAACCACGAGACGGCACTTGGCCCACTGGGGTGGGACTAACAGAAAGCTGGGGAGATAACTAGCGCTGTTGAGGACGAAGAGTAACAGAAAACGCTGGGCCTGGGAACACAAAGTGCTAGAGTTTAGAAAAGTCAGTTTTTCAAAAGGGTATCCAGCAATTCCACGCCCAGGCGTCTACCTAATAGAAATGAACACACGTTCACACAGAAACTCGTACACAGATGTCCACAGCAGCAAGTCACACCTGCCAAGAGGTGGACATGCCCACATGTCCAGATGGAGGAACGTGACTGTCCACATACGGGGGCAGCTCTGACACTCGCCACCATGGGAGGGACCCCGCACACACGATGCTCAGGGAGAGAAGCAGACACACGAGGCCACGCGGTGTGAGGCCACCAACGAGAAACGTCCAGGACACGCACAGCCAGAGAGTGGGTTTGTAGTGCCAGGGGTTGGGGAGTTACAGCTGATGGGGAGGGCATTTTGGGGGGAGGGGGTAAAAATGTCCTAAAGCTGACAGTACTAACAGTCACTGCAATGTGCTCGGGTATGTCAATTATATCTTTTAAAAGCTATTAAAAAAGAAAAGCACAGGCCCCCTTTGTGGCCCAGGGGCTAAGTCTCAGCACTATTACCGCTATGGCCTGAGTTTGATCCCTGGCCAGGGAGCTGACCCACGTGGCGAAGCAGACCTCTGCCTCGCCCTCTGCTCCCCTCAGCAGTGGATCTCATAAATCTACCTGCTCTGCTCTCTACTGTCTCTGGTGAATCCTCTCACCCCTCACCCCAGTTCTATGCAAAAATAAAATAACTAAAAGCTTAAAAACAAACGTACTTCTGCTTCTTTATTTAAAAAAAAGAAAGAAAGAAAAGCACGAGGGCGGGCAGGGCAGGACCAGGGGGAAAAGACAAAATACCCATGAATACTTTTAAACTGGGCAGGGAAGGCCTTCTGAACTCAGACACCAAAAGGGGTGCGGTGGAGAACAGTCCCACAGATTTGTGCAAGGAAAGCACCAGGGACAGAGCTTAGAGCAGCAAATGGCGTCAGAGGGGCCTGTGCAGGAGCGGCAGCCGTTGGAGCGCGGGTTCCAGCTCCCAGGCCGTGGGCGCCCCAGAGGCAGCAGCCCTCAGTCGAGGGAGCGCTCCAGGCCATGGTGACAGGCACAGACCGCTGGTGCAGACCTGTCACTCAGCCTTGGTTTCCCAGACAAGTTTCTTTACTCAAAATATCTTTAATTTTAAAAACATTTAGCATTCAAAAGTAAGTCAAGGTTCAGGTGAGTTTTAACCTCACTCTTGCGGCTCTCAAGACACGGTGTCGGGAGTAGCATGCAGGGGTGGGCAGGAAGTGGCATGCTCCCTGGGCCCCATCTGGGGTAAGCAAGTTCAGCCTTGCCGTCTGTGGCTGTGGGGCCGCCGGCCTCCATGAGGCATTCTGTCCCCTCTTGAGGCACCATCATGGAGCATCCACAGTGGGGTCAGTGGCCATGATGACCCTTTGCCCAAGTTGTCACCACATCCATGCCCAAAGGGTTGATCAGTCATCTCTGAGGGTTGGCCAAGAGAACGTGAGTGGGCATGCTCACAGGACAGAGCTGGAACATTCCCGCATGCCCAGCAGGAAAGGCAGGTGCCCCCGCCTGCGGCTCCAATGTCCACATGGCGCTGTCTCACCTGTGGGCTAGAGGGCAGCTACTGCACCAGTCGATAGGTGATGTACCTGCCCGCGGTCTCGCTGGGCCGGATGATCTTTACCACCTGCAGGAGCGGGAAGCAGAGGCTGGAGTCGGGCTCTTCCCGTGGACCAACCAGGTAGAGAGGGAGGGCAGGTGGTTCCAGGATCAACCCTGGGGGGCTGGAGGAGGGAGTCAGCACCGGACCTGGGACATTACCCTCCCTATCCTGTCAGCTCTGGTTCTAAAAAGGGGTTGCAGGGGTGGTTCTGAGCACCCCCCACCCTGTCCAGGAGAAAAGGAGCTGTACAGTGGAACACTCTTACCTGCCCTCGCTTTATCCCGAAGTACCGAGCTACAGGGTCTCCTGCCTGGATCCGGGGCAGCTGGTTCTCTCGGAGTTTACTGGGAATCTTGCTCAGGAAAAAAGCCTACTGGGAGCGGGCTGGGGTGGGGGTAAGGCCTGGAGAAGAGGTGGGGGAGGGGAAGTGGAGAAGGAGCAGCAGGGAAAGACTCTAGAAGGATACTATCTGGCCAGCAGTTCAGTCACCTCTTCCTTGGTCATGACCACGTGCTCCGGGACCAGCTGCCAAGAGGAGACCCCACTGTGCCCATCCTGGCTCCCACACCCCACGTGGAGAAGGGGTTTCCAGCCTGGTCTCTGGGCTGGCTCTGGTGGGGAGCCAGGGACTCAGAGCCCCACCTCCCCGGCCTCACCCCCACTCTCACCTCGTGCTCCGTGATATTGATAAGCAGCTCCTGCTGCAGAAACTGCTCCAGGATGTACTTGGGGGCCATGTCGACCAGAGACTGAAAGAGATGAGAGTGCTGATGCATGGCTATGGTGGGGACTGCTGCACCCTGAGGCCATCCTCTTCTTCCCCAGAGCTGGCTGAGGGCAGAAGGCCGGGTGGGCTTGACCTCAGGTCTAAACAAGAGGGTGAGAGCCTGGCCCACCTCCCTCATGTCAGAAGTCCTCGTGTTTTCATCTTTCAAATGCCCCCAGGGGTGGTCCTCAAGCTAGTGTGGTGTCTTCCCTGCTGCACCTCCCCCTGCAGTGACCTTTAGGGCTAACCGTCCCTAGGTCCGGCTGGGCAACCAGCGCGCAGGGGGAGAACAGCAAAAGTCCGCGGCACTTCCCAATAAAGGTGGGAGACCTCACGGTCTCTACAACCCCCAGGGGCACAGCTCTTCCCATCCTGACCGCTGGCACACAAAGGGCTGCCCTCCCCAGTAAGAGCAGTCACAGGGGACCGGACCTGGTCTGTTGCCCATGTGGGACAGGCGCTCCCTGTTGGAGCTCAAGCTCCAAACCATGGGAACCTCCAGGGGCAGGGCCTGGTGGGAAGCGCAGAAGGGAGGGGCTGGGCTCAGACAGAAACAGAAGCAGTCTGGCTGCTTCATCCTGGGCAGGAACAGCTCCACCCCACCACCACCACCCAGGGGTGGGCTCCTCTGAGAGGGTATACCTGCTTAGCCGAAGGGGTCATGCCCTGCTGCACCACGATGAGGGCGCGGGTGATATTCTCCTCCTGCATGCGCTGGCAGTACACCTTGATGGTCTTGATCCCCACTTTGGGCTCCTCTGGGGACAGTGAGCAGGCTGGTTTACATGGCCAGGGTCCCCTCCTACCTGCCCACTCCACCCCAGGCACTGTGGTGTTGTTGTTCCCCCTTTCTGGGGCCTCAGGCTACCCATGTACAAAACAGAACCCAAGACACCTGTTTCCAGAATAGGGGGTTGCTGCCACCACATCCACATCTCAGGGGAGCTGAAATCAGCCCTGCATCCCTTGTGAACCCCACTTTCCAGAAGTGGGGTCTAGGAATCTGGGTTTGTTCCTATGCTTGCAGCAACTGTGAGGTTTAGGAAGTCCTGGATTGAACAATTTGTTTAATCTGGGAGCCGACAAGATGCATACACCGGGGTGATGAGATGAGCCAGCTGACTGGGAGCACAGAGCTCACCATGGAGACAGACCCAGGCCTGAACATCGAGGAGTGGGCTCTCAACCTGTCTAGTGGCATGTCCAAAGATAAGGCTCGGGCAGCACACAGGGCCCTGTTACCTACAAGCTTAGTAGGTTGCCAACTGAGCGCTGAACTCCCTGTGGGCCTCTGCAGTGTGAATGCATCAACGCATCTTTCCATCAACGGGATGTGTCCTGGCTGAGCTGGGTCCCTCAAAAATCCAAATATTGAAAACCTGACCTCAGGAGTTGACAATACAGGAAGTTAGAATCTTTAAGCATATCAAGTTAAAACGAAATCATTAGAGTAGGCTCTGCTGTTTTCTGATGTTCTTAGGAAAACAAGTTATTAGACCACGACACACAGAAAAACTACCACGCGAGGAAACAGGAAGACGGCCCTCTGCCCAGTAAGGAGAGTCGCAGGAGAAACCAGCCCTGCCCACAGCTGGCTCTGGGAGTCCCAGCCTCCTGCGCGGAAGAGGTGTCTGTGGTACAATTGTTATGAAGCAGCCCCCACCCCCCCAACAAGGCAGGAACCTCAACCTGTCCGGTGGTATGTCCAAAGACCAGTGACACCCCCACTGTCACCATGACTAGAAGTGAAGGGCGACCTCCAACTCCGGGGAGAGGTGTGACTAGGCACCAAATTTCCAATACAGAAGTCTCACGTGTGGGGGACAATTTTCTTAAAAAGTGCCACCTGGGTCTAGTCAGCAAATGTTTTCTGCATATCTCAGATTCCAGGATGGGACTGGGTCCCCACAGTGCTCATAACAAATGGCACTCCCCTCCCCTGCCATTTTCACAGGATGTAAAGCTGCTTCAATGCAACAGGTGGTAAGACGGAGGAACTCAGAGGCCCTGGAATACTCCCCAGGGCCTCTCTGCCCAATATGGGGATCAGAGGGATTCCTGGAACAGATGGCACCTGAGCTCAGTCTTTAGGGATAATGGATACTTACTAGGAGGGGCAAGGAAGGAAGTGGTGAGGGGAGCAGGACAAGGCAGTGCAGGAAAAGAAGCAGAGACTGGCATGCACTTGGGAAGGAAGCTGGGCTAATGAGGTGGGGGGCAGAGGCAGACCTGAGGTCTGGATGGGAGACCTGTGTGAAGACAGACTGGGGAAAGAGATCCAAGCCCGGGAGTCGGAGAAGGTACACAGAAGGCGAATGATCAACAGAGCAAGGAAAGATGAGCGGGCGCTTTCTCCCTAGGCTGGGTAAAGGGGTAAGGGTCGACACAGACTCTGGGTCACACAGTAGGTGCTCACCTGGGAAGAAGACAAACATCTGGTCAGTGGGGTCATCATTGTGGGCCACCAGCACTGTGAGGTCTGTGCGCCGCGGCCGCCCTTCACTGGGCTTGTCCCCAAACTGGGCCTTGAACTCCTCCAGTGTCTGGTCCAGCTCATCCTGAGTGACCAGGTAGCCACGGTCGTGGCACAACTACAAAGAGAAAGAGCAAATGACCCAATGCTGGAAGAGGCTGCTGCACAGGACAACACATGGCATTTGAGGCTTGGCCTGGCCTGTCTGTGTAGAGGCCGGGGGGGAGGGATGTCAAGGGACAAGCAGAAACGAAGACCAAGGCACATAAGAGAGTGTCACTGTTCCTCTCCAGGTAACCAGCTGCAGTGGCAGAGCTGGAGCCCTGGTGGTTGGGGACAGCTGGGGAGAGGGGACCATCATAGTAAGCCAGCAGGGGACTCAGAATCGGAGTGACGACTGTGTGGGTGTTAGGGGGAAAAGGCTGTCCTAAAGCTAATTCCATACAGGCTTTGTGGACTCCACCCCCACCCCAGACCAAAGCCAAAGACACTGGGAACTCCACATCCCATCCCCACCAAAGGGAAGGTGGCTGGGACCTGAGGGTGGGGTTAAGCAGCCAGGTTGGTATAAAGCCAGACACGTGGGCTTTGGAGGGGCCCCCCATTTTGGCTCTCCGCCAGCTCGCAGCGTCCAGCCAGCTCTGAGAGTGACTTTGGGTTTCCAGGTCGGCGGATAGGGTAGGACGCATTAAAGACTTTATCTCCCTATTTTCTCCCTGAGTTGTACATTTCCTTATTTCCCTTTCCCTTGTAAATAAACCTTTTATGAACCTTTTGTGTGTCCTGTAATGGAGTATTAATAAGTCCCTTTTAAGCGCGCGGGTGAGGACCCACAGCCAGGAACCCGTTCAATATCGGGGCTGCCCTATAACAGGTGGGCGACTGAAAAAGGACCCAGATGGAAAATGGGAAGGTCAGAGCCAATACTGCCCCGCCCCCACCCGCTTGCTCCCGCGAGTCCCCCACAGCCTGCTTCTCCCTCCTCAGCCCTCACGTCTTCGCTGTCTGGCGCCTGCAACAACCAGTAAGAAGTCACAGCCTTTGGCCTCTACCTCTGCAGAGAGGGAACAAGTCGGTGTGGCTGCCCACGCTTATTCTGGGCAGGACGCCGGTGAGGCTGGCGGTGCTGGTCAAGGCCCGAAGCCTGTGGGGGCCCTGCGGGGTCCCAGCGGTTCCCTCCAGCGGGGTGATGTAAAGTGGGAGAGGCCGCGCCCGGCTCCGCCCGGTGGGTCACCCCGGACTGGGCGCGCCGAGCAGCCACCCTCGGAGCAGCCACGGAGACCGGCTCCGGGCGCAGGCAGGCCGGGCCCCGCCGACACTCACCGCGGACTCCGGGGCGGGCGCTGGGGCCGCGGGGGCAGCAGCACGGAGACCAAGCGCCCGCCGTGCAGCGGAGCGACCCCGACACGGCCCGGCCCCCGACGCCCGCGCTTCTCCGCTCGGCCGGCGGCCCGCGTGGTCTCGTGGGGCGCCGGCCCGGCCCCTCCGCTCCGGCGCGCGGGGTGGGACGCGCTACACGCGCCGACCCCACCGCGGCGTGCCCGGTCGCCTGACGCGAGGCCCGGCGCCGCGCGCGGCTCACCTGCATGATGGTCTTGCGGATTTTCCACAGGCGGTAGGTCTCCTCCTCGTCGTCCATGGCTCCGCCGCGCCTCCTCCCGCTCGCTCTGCGCGTGCGCGCGCTCAGGACCCCGCCGACTGCGCCTGCGCCCGCGCATGCGCCGAGGCTCGGTCAGGCCCCGCCCCCAGGCGCCCGCGGCTGACGCCGGAAGGGCCGCCCGCGGCTGCGAGAGCGGCGGTTGGCTGCTGGGCGGTTGGCCGCCCCCCCACCCGGCCGTTCTCACGTAACCGTGGCCACAAGGACTCCCTCGAGGTTTCCGCCCGGCCCTGGCCTCGGGGCGGCAGTTTAGCACGCGAGAGGCGGCGGGGCCGGGCGGCGGCTCCTTAACCCGGCGCGTCGGGCCCTGGCGGAGGCCGCCGCGGGGGCTTCGCGGTCGGGTTGGGCCGCGTCCGACTAGGGCCCCGAGCCTGTGCGCTCGCGTTTATGAAACGAAAATAATAAAGTGTCGTTGAAGGACCAGCCCTGTTGGTAGGAAACGGGCAGAGCTCTTGGCGCTGATTAGATGCCCCCACCCCTTTTACCCCTTTCCTGCCCCCCAAGCCACAGCCAGCCTCTGCTTGGATACCCCACGGCCCCGCAAACTTCATGCAACGCCCCCCCAGACTGTGCTGATCTTTACAAACTTCTGCATCGCCCCCTGATGGGCTCATGAAGGAGGCTTCCCGGTACAACCTGGGCGCCAGCTGTTATAGGGCAGCTGTGGGTGGCCTGGCTGTGGGTCCTCACCCGCGCGCTTAAAAGGGACTTATTGATACTCCACTGCAGGCACATACAAAAGGTTAATAAAAGGTTTATTTACAAGGAAAAAGTAAAGAAGGAAAATGTACAACTCAGGGAGAAAATAGGGAAATAAAGTCTTGAATGCGTCCTACCCAATCCGCCGACCTGGAAACCCAAAAAGCATTCTCAGAGCTGGCCAGACGCTGCGAGCTGGCGGAGAGCCACAATGGGGGACCCCTCCAAAGCCCACATGTCTGCCTTTATACCAACCTGGCTGCTTAACCCCACCCTCAGGTCCCAGCCACCTTCCCTTTGGTGGTGATGGGATTTGGAGTTCCCAGTGTCTTTGGCTTTGGCCTGGGGTGGGGGTGGAGTCCACAAAGCCTGTATGGAATTAGCTTTAGGACAGCCTTTTCCCCCCTAACACCACCACTGGCGCAGTAACTTCTTACTCAGTGACATTATTAATTCAATAAATTTGATGCTAAGCAACCACAGGAACAGTGAACAAAACAGGCCAACACCCCTATGGTTCCAGGGAAGACAGGCTAGAAAACAACGTAATAAATAAAGGATAAAATAGGGTGACAGTCCTCTGGAGAGTAGGTTAGGGAGATGGGAGGTATGCAATCTTAAATGGGGAGGTCAGGGGAGTGAGAAAGTTCCAGCAAAAGTCCATGGGAAGAGCTGGTGCTGTGGGGATGTCTGGAGGCATGTATATCAGCAGAGGGGGGCAGCTTGTACAAAGGCTGGGCATTGCCTTGTGTGCTGGCTACAAGGAGGCAGTGCAGGGGAGGGACAGGTAAGAGGGTGAGATGGGGCAGATCCTTGGGGGCCTTCTTGGTTGGATTGAAATTTTGGGTTTTCTTTTTCAACCATATTCAGCATTTTGAGGGCACATCTGGAAGACTTGGATGGGCATACTGGCCAGTGAGGGTAGGATGAGTAGTGAGTGGTTCTGGTGTTCCGAAGGCAGGCCCAGAGGATGGAAAGATGCCGGGGTGTGAGAAAGAGAAAGGAGCACAGTGGTGGAGTGCAAGGTGTCATTATGACAGTGAATCTTTATTTTTTTTTTAATTTTTAAAGATTTATTTATGCATACAAGAACTGGGGTGTAGGCCGGAGGTGCAAGGATGGTCAGACAGAGTGGGGAGCAGAACAGAAGGATCTACTGAAATACACTGCTGAGGGGAGCAGTGGGGAGACAGGAGAGGTCTGCTGAGCCATGTGGGTCTGCTTCCTGGCTGGCCAGGGATTGAACTTGTGCTGCAGTGGCTGGCAATAGCGTGATAGTGTTATCTTTAACCCCTGACAACAGTGAATCTTTAACCTGAGTTCCCGTCCTCAGAGATAACAGGTCAACTGCTTCGAAGGAAAATACAAACCTAGAGCGTTTCCTTTCATTTCTAACTTGTGCTCCTGGAGTCGGAAGACCCAGGAAGCATAGGTGTGTGGTGGGTGATGAGTTAGGGTCGTGGAGGTGATGAACTTCCAAGGGGAGAAAATGAGGTGTTGGTGGGATACACGTGAGTTCAAGGCGAAGTTGGAGTGGAGACAAGTATTTGGGCACCATCAACACATGGTAGAGATCAGTCAGTAGCCTGCATGAGGTCACCACCAAGCAGTGTGGAGGTTAGAGACAGAGGCCTGAGCTTGGGCCAGGAGGAGGGAAGATGATAGTGGAAGGCAAAGTGGCAGAAGGCAAATGGGTGCCCACAATCTAGTTGTGTGGACGAAGGCACATTACTTCAGCTCTCTGTGCTACCTCCCTGCTCCGCTGCCCGTAGAACAGGTACAAGAACCACACCCACACAGGTGCACCTGGTGGAAAACTGTGTTTCTTAAACAGAATAAAGGGGAGGAGGTTGCCAGTGTCTGGAATCAGGTGAAGGTGTCTGGCGGAGGAGGGAAGGAATGATCATCCAGGCCACCAAGCAGAGTCCCAGCAAGCTCAGGAATGGGCAGGGGTTTAGCAAAGTGGATATTGTGGCCATGTGGAGGGCAGATTCAAGGAGAGGGTCTGGCTCTGCATGTGTGTTATGGGAGGAAAGAAACTGCAGAGCTGGGTGCCCACATGGAGAGGCAGAGGAAGAGGGTCAGGAGTTTTAAGGGGGAGAAGCAATGTGGGTGTGGGAGGCAGGCTTGTTGGTACCTGGAGAGGGGGAGAGAGGCAGAGCCCAAGGAGTGGTGGATGCTTTCAGGGGCCAGATACAGGGGAACCACCACAGAGGACCCTCACTGAATGAAGCCTTGAGACTTCCCCAAGACTCCATTCTCCCCTCTGTAAAATGGGGTCATTCTGGCAAATGCCAAGACCCAGGCACAAATCCCATGGGTGTGCACTCCACTCAGCAAGCAGCTCTGCCCCTAAGATCACCTCTCCCCTCCTCGGCTCTTATCTAACCAGCACAGGGTCAGAGGGTGGGGTGTTACAGCCTTGCCCTGGGCTGTTGTTTTGCAACCCTGAAATAATCATTAGGCCATCTTTATAAAGTTACAGATTGCATCCAAAGCAAAATTGGAAACAGCAGGAGTCTTTCCAAGGCCCAGGGAGACTCGCTGGTGTAGTCGAGATACCCTGTGTCGCCAGAGTGAGGTAATGGGGGCTTCCTAAGAAGTGAAGCCTGCCAGCGGAGACACTGGGGGGCTGCTCCGGCCAGGCTAAGGGCAGAGCCACGGGAAAACCATTGTGCAAGATGGGGATGTAGCAACCTGCCCAGGCTCCTGCTCTGTAGCTAAGCTCCCCCCCTCCGCCCTCTGTTGGGGGTAAAAAGAGCAAGGCTCCCTAGCATGCACCTAGCCCTGGGATCCCCACCGGCCTCTTCAGAAATGGCCACGGGTGACTCCAGGAAGGCGCAAGATGCTGACAGCAGCACAAAACGCTGAAACTACCAGCCTACCTGCAGGTCAACGTCCAGGGCTAGCAGGGCTGGGCGTGGGGGTGGTGGACAATCAAGTCCATGACTGTGGAATCAAGTCCATGACTCAGTTCCCAAGAATGAGGCGGGTCGTTTCTACACTCCCATGGCCAAATTCCTGAGCCTTGAGGGGGAAAAAACGAAGCTGTAAGGCGAGAAGCGGAGCGCAGCCTGGTGCTGTGCGCTCCTGTGCCGGGGAGGGGGGGAGTTAGAGACGAAAGGAAACTCTCTAGGTTTGTGTTCTTCTTTCGGAGCCGCAGGCCTGTTACATCTGAGGGCGGGATCTCAGGTTAGAGTCACGGCCGTAGTCACACCTCGTTCCCGCCCCCCACACCCTGCGCGACAATGGCGGGCACTGCGGTGGCGACGGCCTCGGCCACCCCGGCCTCGGCCGGGCCCAGCGACACCGCAAACCCAGTGGGCGGAGTCCGCCCTCTGGGCTTGGCCCGACTTAGGTTTTATTTAAGTTAAAAAGAAGGGCCTCCCTGCTGGCGCACGGGGTGAGGCACCGCACTGTGCAGCAATCCGCGGCCCCTGCAGCACGAAGTCGATCCCCGCGCGGCCAGGGAGCAACCCACACGGCGCGGCAGACCTCTCCTGTCTCCCCGCTGCTCCCCGCCTGTTCTGCTCCCCACTCTGTCTCTGGTGAATGCTCTCACCCCCCTGCACCTCTGGCCTGTACCCCAGCTCTAGTATGCATAAATAAATAAATCTTTGGGGGGGGGAAAGTTAAAAAGAAAACCCCCAGCTTTCAAAGAGCGGGGACGATTTCCTGCGAGTTCGCATCCCTCCCCCTAAGTTTCCAGCTCAAGTTGTCCCGCATTCTGTGCTGCCACGGGCAACCACCCGGATAACTCTCCGCAACCCACCGACTGCGTGGACGCGGCCAGCCACCGCTGGCGAGCATGCGCAGTCTCAGACAACAACGCCTCAGCCCAGCCCCCTCACCCCGGCCTCCCATTGGCTACCACCGCCACGCGTCCTCAGCGCCAGAGTGACTGACCAATGAGGGCGTTGGTGGGCGTGGCCGAGGGCGGGAAGGCGAGGCCCGCCGGTTCGCGTCCATTGGCCCGCTCGGCTAGGGGAGGAGCCGCCGCGTCCCCGGCGCCCCCGCCGCCGCGATGAGCTTCAGCCGCTTCTGCCGCCTGCTGAAGCCGGCGCTTCTCTGCGGAGCGCTGGCCGCGCCCGGCCTAGCCGGCACCATGGTGAGCGCGGCGGCGGCGCCCGGCCGGAGGGCCGTTAGGTGGCGCGCGGGCCGTCGCGCGCTCGCCCCTCGGGAGCCGTCGGGCGCGGGCCGGGCGGGCCGGGCGGGGGCCGGGCCGGTGCTTCGGGCGCGGGACGGACGGAGCGGTGGGGCCCGGGGCGGTACCTCCCGGCGCGGCGTCGGGCAGCCGGGCCCCGTCCCTGGGCCGGCGAGCGGCAG